TGGTTATGGCCTATGGGATCTGATCCGGCTCATGTGACTGCTCTTATTGACAAGTTGGCTCTTGAGTTTAAAGTTCGTGATATGGGTGTGCCCTTGTTCTTTCTGGGTATTGAGACCATTCCGTTGTCTGATGGCATGTTTCTGTCTCAATAACGGTACATGAAGGATATTCTAAAACGAGCAAGTATGGTTGATTGCAAGCCCGTGGCTACTCCGGTTTCAACCACGAAGGCCGAGACTGATGCCGTGGTACCATACGCTGATCCCACTCAGTATCGCAGCTTTGCAGGTGCTCTGCAATATCTTACGGTAACTCGGCCTGATCTTTCCTATGCAGTCAATCGTTTGTGTCAACACATGCACTCTCCCTCTACTGCAAATTGGGCAGCTCTCAAGAGGGTGTTACAGTATGTAAATGGGACACTACATCTTGGTCATAAGATTACGTCTTCTCCTTCTCTAGATATTCATGCATATTCTGATTCGGATTGGGCTGGCAATCCTGATGATTGCAAATCTACTAGTGGTTTTGCTGTATTTTTGGGGACCAATCTTGTCTCATGGGTTTGTCGAAAACAACGTACTGTGGCTCGTTCATCAACTGAGGCTGAATACAAAGGACTGGCTGATGTCTCTGCAGAGGTTACTTGGCTCGTTTCTCTGATGAAGGAAATCGGGTTTGCGCCACCTTCTGTGCCCAAACTCTGGTGTGACAATCTGGGAGCTACTTATCTGTGTGCTAATCCGGTGTTTCATGCTCGCACCAAGCACATTGAGATCGACTACCACTTTGTTCGTGATAAAGTCGCGAAGAAGGAATTACAAGTCAATTTTATTTCTACCAAAGATCAGAAAGCGGATATTTTTACTAAGTCTCTTTCGTCTATACGTTTTAATTTACTCCGTTGCAAGCTCAATGTTTTGGCTGACCAACCTTGTGCTTGAGGGGGAGTATTAGGACTATTAGGACTCTATTATCCATATTAGACTAGGACTATATTATTCGTGTTAGACTAGGATTCTATCTAGCATCTCTATATATTCGCTCCCTGTACTCTCAGATATTATTATTGAATACAACACAATTATATTCTCATCAAGACGGTGTTGACTCTTTGTGCTTCAACAGGTTGAGAAAGTATAGATGAACAGATACTACAGTGTAATAGAGTTAGTAGCTTTCAAAAAATGGTCCCTTAATCTTTACCATTGGACCATAAATGGTCCCTGGACTATTTATCTTTACCAATTTTCGTCCTCGACTTTCAATTTAACCATAAGTGGTCCTTGACTATTGTTTTTTTAAAAAAAAAAAAAAATTGGTCCTCTAGTTAAAAATCATTTTAATAAACATAAAATTTAAGGGTAATAGTGTAAAAATTTTAGTTCTTCACAATGATGAACTCATGGCGTGTTTGGTTCATGGAATAGGTCGGGAATGGAATACCGTTCCCGGAAATATACCTATTCCATTGTTTGTTTTGTCATTTTATTCAAGGGAATAGCGTTCCCGGGAAAGAGCTATTCCCTTTGCAGGGGGAATAGTCATTCCTAGGGGACCCCCTGGTATTAGCTATTCCCAAGTATTTGGGAATAGCTTTAGTACTATAATACCGAAAATACCCTACCACCGCCACCACTGTCGCCGTCTCCACCACCACACCACCACTGCCATCGCCACCACCACCACCACCACCACAACCACCGGCGCCACTGCTACTATCGCCACCGCCACGACCACCGTCACCGCTGCCGCCGCCGCCGCCGCCACCACCACCACCACCACCAACACCAACACCAACACCACCACATATTTTTATATGTCTTTTGAAACATATTTCATTCTATTCCTTAAATCAACCAAACATTGAAATATAATTCCTAAAGTCTATTCCTTCCGCGAACCAAACAATAGAATACAATTCATCTTCTATTCCTTGCCTATTCAATTCCTTATGGAATAACATTCCTATTACCTCAAAATTCATTCTGTGAACCAAACGTGCTGTCAATGTATTAAATTATGAACTCAATTTGTCCATCTCAACAACAAGTTAATTTTTACATTATTATTTTTCTTAAATTTAATTTAATATTTATTAAATGGATATTTAACTGAATGGCCAAATTTGGAACAAAACTAATAGTCAATTGACCATTTATGGTCATATTAAAAGTCAATGACGAAAATTGGTAAAGATCAATAGTCAAGAAACCATTTATGGTCCAATTAAAAGTCAAATGATAAAAATTGATAAATGTCAATATTCAATGGACCATTTCTAAAATTAACTCTCCAAACAATGTGGATGACTTTCATTTTTTTTTTTGAATGCTACTGACTCTAGCTAGAGTCAACAACACCTTCACTGAGACTCGATTTCATGACCTCCCACATGAGAAAAGTTACTACATACCATCTAAACACAAAGTGTTTGGCATACACACCCTTAATATTACCTTTATAGGATTAAAATATCTTATTAATTCACAATAATATTTACAAATTAAATCACCTACTGAAATAAATTATTCCCAACAAGAATCAAATCTAAATTATCTAAAGTGAAATAAATGGTATTTATCTCATTCAACCAACTACATTATTGACATAATGCAAGACCATATTTAAATTAGGAATAAGGGTCAAATAGGCCATCGAACTGCACTCAATAATGCAATTAGGCCACCGAACTTCAAAAAGCTACAATTGGGTCCCTGAACTAACGAATTCTATTCAATTAGTCTAATTTGTAGGTTTCCAAGTTGTTAGCAGGTTACTCCTTTTCAAAAAATTTTTTAATTATTATTTAAAATAATTATTTAATATTAATAATTAAAAAAAAAAAAAAAAAAAAAAAAAAAAAACAGATTGACACGCCGGAGACGAAGAAGGTTTCTTCGTCTCCGGCCATGGAGACGGAGAAACCTTCTTCGTCTCTGGCTGGAGATGAAGAACATCTTCGTCTCTGGCTGGAGACAAAGAATATCTTCGTCTCCATGGCCGGAGACGAAGAGTTTCTTCGTCTCCGGCCATCGAGACGGAGTTAACTTCTTCGTCTCTGGCCGGAGACGAAGGAACCTTTTTCGTCTCCAGCCAGAGACGAAGAAATTAACTCCGTCTCCATGGCCGGAGACGGTATCTTTTTTTTTTTTTTTTTTTTAATTTTAATTTTAAATAATTATTTTAAATAATAATTTTTTTAAAATATTATAAATTAGGGGTGACCTGCTAACAACCTCCAAAACTTACAAATTAGACTAATTGAATAGAATTAGTTAGTTCAGGTTGTAGCTTTTTAAAATTTGATGGCCTAATTACATTATTAGGTGCAGTTCGATGGCCTATTTGACCCTTATTCCTTTAAATTATAACACAATAATATCAATACTAAAATCATATAGTATTAATTAAACACAGAGACTAATAAAATAGATAAGTGTGTGGACAATACACAAATTGTCCCAAAAATTTGCAAATATCAAAAATGAAAAGGAACACATTGAGATGACTCTCCAACTAACGGCCACCATCATGTATAGGCTTCACCTTACTATTAAGGCTGCAACTTTGAAAAAGTGGTGGATATCATGTAATATATAGGTACGTGTGGCTTTTTTGAGTTTTTTTTTTTGGATGTAAATCATCACGGTGACTTAATCGTGCCGTCCTCAAAGTTCGAATCTTGGTTTCTTCTCTCAAATACTGTTCATTAAAACCATTGAGCTAAACCCGTGCGGGCTCTATTCAAACATACTTTCTCAACCTAATGAATCACAAAGAGTCAACAACGCCTCCATTGAAGCTCGATCTCATGATCTCCCACATGAGAGAGGTCACTACATGCCATCTGAGCACAATGTGCTCGGCATTTTGAGTTTAATCCTTTGATTTTAAAATAGAGACATCTTAAAAATACAAACAATACAGGTACCTGGGTCGCCTTCTCCTTCGTCGGAGAAGGCAACCAAACAACATCAGCAACCATTTTGTCGGTGTTTTTTTTGTCGGAATATGGTCAGAATCTTGTTGGAGGTTCGCCGGAACTCTAGTGACCTGTAATTATAGGTCGCAACTGGTATTTGGGCCTCAATGCTCTAAAATAATCTAATCTAAATAAAAACATAATAAGTGTGAATGAAAGTTATACCCCTGATTTATGTCCATTTTTTCCGTTAAGTTTTTTTGTACATTATGCTATAAAGGTTGTACATCAAAATATTTTGGACAAACAATAACCCCTACCGTTATAACTTCCGTTATTTTTTCACTATTGTTACCATGCACATGCATCCACCATATATTTTCTTATCTTCTTCATTAATAATAATATATAAACATTGTATATTTGAGTTATATGTTAATTATTACATAAAATATAAGTATCAAATTTATAAAAATGATTTACATTATTATTATTATTTAGAGTAATTTAAATATCTAAAATCTAAATAAATTTTAAAATTTTAATATAATGTACTAATATTGGGCACCTATTTTTTGCGCATCGCACATAAAAAAAAAAAATAAAAATACAAGTATGTTTAATAAGAGTTTAATTGCAACCTTGGAAAGTTTAAGTGCCTAATTGACTTCTGAAGTATTGTTCATGAGTCTATTTGACCATTTTTTTCCTAAAATATATTAGAGTGTACAATTTAGTGTTGAGTCTCGAAACTAAATTGACTCAATTTATTTTTTCATGAACCTAGAGCGGAATCATGAAGTCTAAGATATAATCTTGCAAAGTCGGACAATCTAGGTTATAAAATATATATATATATATATATATATATATATATATATATATATATATATATATATATATATATATAATATCAATTCTATTACATGCAAACCTTAGAAGATTCCTAAAAATAAATGTAGAGAAGGACAGGGGGGATTACATTCCATAGATGAAGTGTCGGCACTGAAAATGAGAACCCCACATTTGAATCCAACACATCCCTCCAACCTTCACGTGGTCCATCATGATTCCATTACTCTCTCTCTCTCTCTCTCTATTCATGTGTACGTAATATTAGTAAGTTGTGTACAAGTAGAGAGTGAAAGAATTATCTGCTCATCACAACTCTCAAAACAAACATTCGTGCCCTGTTCTGCAGATTCTGCAGGGTGTGTCTCCATTTTGTATGCTAATTAAACGACGAAGAAAATGGATTCAGCTACTCTTCTTGATTATGTTTTGTTTCAGCTCACCCCAACAAGGACCAGGTAATTACTACATTTTCTACTGTTTAGTAGTTCGTTCGTTGATTTCTTGGATTTTCACAATGTTTTGATTTGATAAAGATGCGATCTTGTCATCTTTTCCGGCAAGAAAAATGAGAAACTGGCGTCTGGGTTGCTTCAACCCTTCATTTCTCATCTCAAATCCGCTCAAGATCAGATTTCCAGAGGAGGCTACTCCATTACTCTTCGCCCTTCTACTCCACACACTTCCAATTCTTCTTGGTTCACCAAAGCTACTTTGGAAAGGTTGGAATATAATATAATGAATCCCTTGATGTTTATTTCCTGTCTGATTAACTCTTCTGGTAGTCCAAGGTTCTTTTAGTGGACTAATATAATGTAGGGAATTTGTGATATTTCATCAGTGTTGATATACATAGCTTGCTTGTATTTTGCAAATTTAGGTAGTTTTGGTGGCATTATTTGATTAGTTATTTTGATGCATGATATGCAAGATTTGGTAGCATTATCAAAACAATAACTTGAGTTTTGGTTGGAATTTGATGGTAACGGTGATTCAGAGGCCCATTAGGTGGGAGGACACTGGACCACTGTCAGGTGTCCACTAGGAACTACAGCTGTCAGGTCCTTGCCCACAATCTACCACTTAAGAACCAACTGATCGAACTGTCTGTGCGGGCACACATTATCCATTTGATTGGTTGCTTGTTGAGGAACTTGGCTTCTCTAGTATACTGATAGGAAACTTGTAGAACTTATCATAACTATTAATTTCAAGATTAATGTGCTTAATTAGTTAACAAGTATAATTTGGTTTCTATCATTGAAATTGTCACCATGGGTTTTGGTTTAAGGATGTGATATTTCATCAATGCTGACACCATTAGTGTTTAATTGCTTGCTTATTTTGAACTTGGCTTGTTGATTATCTCAAACGACGCTTGGTAGGTTTGTAAAGTTTGTAAGTAGTCCAGAAGTTCTTGAGAGATTTGTTAGCATTGAGAGAGAGATCGCGCAGATTGAGAGTTCAGTTCAACCGAATGAACAGCCAAGCGTGGCATCTGAGGCAGAAGGTATAGTTAAACATGTCTCATTGTACTTTATTTTGATAAATGATATGAATCCCAGGACCAAATGGATATGGACTTCAAGGAAATTAATGTTTCTGATCTGTACCTAGACAATCTCGTTTAATCTTCTTCTTGATAAAACTTATCTATGATGTTTGTAGTTGAATCCAATGGAACTGGTGAAACTTCCCAAGGAGAAGATTCCAAGTAAAAAAGCTTGTGCTAAGTCATTTACATTATATTGTCTGCCTTTTAGTATGGGTTAATTAATACATCATTGTGGACAGGGCTCGTCTGCAACGCATTCTGGAAACTCGAAAGGTGGTTCTTAGGAAAGAGCAAGCCATGGCGTATGCTCGTGCTCTAGTGTCAGGATTTAAGGCAGACTGTTTAGAGGACCTTATATCTTTCGCCAATGCTTTTGGAGCTTTACGGTTAAGGTAAACAACTCTGGGAAAAAAAATCGTTACATTATCTATGATGTATATATGGTAGCAGGCAACTTCTGATGCTTGGCTATGTTTATTCAGGGAAGCATGTGTAAATTTCTTGGAATTGTGTACTAAAAAAAGCGACGATGGAATGTGGATGCACGAGGTAGCAGCAATGCAGGCCTGCTCACCTTCTGAGCTTCCATATTTCGGGAAATCAGGAATCGTGTTTGCTGGAGAGGAGAAATTGTATAATCAAGATACCATGATGAACCAGAACGAGTTATCGAATGGTAATTTGTTTTGTGTCATGTTTGCTTTCATAAGATTCTGCAATGCCCATAATTCTTAGAGTTTCTGATAAGATTCTCTTTGTTTTGTTTGATCTTTTGGTATTCTCTGGATGTGATATGATATTCAGATAATGGCTTGGCATCAACACCTCAAATGCAGCTTCCAATATGGCAAAACCATTTCCCACAGTATCTGCAACATTTTCCAGGTCCCGGGATTCCTCAAACGAGGCCTTTTCCCGGGTATCTGCTTCCAGGAATGCAGGCTCCCCCGTCTTACTTTCCTGGAAACGTTCACCACGAATCAGAGGACAGTTGGAAGGGCAAGTCGGGTTCCAAAAGCAAGAAGAAATATTCAAATGGAACGAATCCGAAAGAAGATCATGGAAATGAAAATAGTGATTTGAGCTCAGGAGGTGATTCAGATAACCACCGGAGAGGTTCATCAAAAACAATTGTTATTCGCAATATAAATTATGTTACTTCAAGGAGAAATGATGAAGAGAAGGACAGCAGTTCTAGTGATTCTTCCTCTTTAGCCTCTGATTCGATCAAAAGGCAAATAGAACAAGCTGTTGGGGCATTGGAGAGGCCAGAGAATAGAACATCCCATAGCAAAAAGAAACGAGATGGAACGAAAAGACGACATAGCAGCAAGAATAGAGAGGGTGGTGTTGAAAATGCAGATATGGGAACCTCTCAAGAAGACTTCTTTGCAAGCAAGAGCTTAGGGGATGAGGATCGGTCATCTCCATTCAATGCTCAAACCAAGGGACTATCGAAACACCATGCTCCTTCAAATGACTCTTTTATTGTGACTGAAAGAGACATACATGTTGAAGACCAAGTTCATTTGCAAAATTTTGGAGCAAGAGAAACAACAACTTACCTAGTTAGTAGAGGAGGCGATACGGGTGATGAGGAATTGGTATTTGCAAATAGAACCCGAGAAACGGTTAGCTACCCCCGTGCAACGTTGTCAATTGGTGCCACTGATACAATGATCATTAGAAGCCAAAACGAGGAAGATTGGTTTAAGTGCAACCAACCAGACTTGCTATCATCAAATGGGGGATTTAAGGTAGACAACAGTATCTTTGTTGGTGAGGAAAACAAAAAAGATGTGCTCGCTGATGATTCTTTTATAGTACAAACAAATTCAGTTGGTAAAACATCGTCTGACTATCAACCAACCGCTGACATCTTCATGGTTTCGGACATCATTGGAGCTAATCAACCTAAGCATAACATATTAGAGGTTGAAGCCACAGTTGTAAACGAACCAGATGATCTTTGCATGGTGCTTGAGCGAGATAATGCAGCTATTGATCAAGTGGATGCCCCGTGGAGTCCAGAAATGGATTATGGAAATGATAAAGTGAATTTTAAGCTGCCCCAAAACGATAAAGTTCCCAATACAAGAGACAGGACTAATCCAGGAGAAAAAGGAGTTAGAAAAGAAACAAGTTCTAGAACTCCAGTGGGGACTCTTGCAAGGACCAAATCTGAGATCACTTCAAGGATCAAAAAATCACCTTCAACGCCAAAGATCAAATCTGTTAAGGTAATTGAATAAAAGAATTAGAAGGTGTACTTGAAAATGCATTTACTCCCTTGTTGATTGTCCACCTAAAGAATTTGCCAGTTTTAGTCCTATTCTAGTGGAAAGAATCCTACTATAGTTTAGCTGGTCTGACATGTTTTGAGAAACTCCTATCACAAATATTTCGATATATCTATGTGGGCAGAGACCGGGGCCGGTGAAGGGCCAAGTCCAGCACCAGGTGGCTAGGGGGATTGTTGGGCGGAGGCTTGAAGGGCCAAGTCCAGCACCCTGCCTCTCGAAAATGTGACGGTACAAGAAATAAAGTTGCGCATTCACTACTAGTTATAGTTTTTGGCGTAGCGATAAGCGCTTAATCTTAACAAACAGTATCAGAGCCAGCGCTTAATCTTAACAAAAAGTATCAGAGCCCGCGCTTAATCTTAACAAACAGTATTAAAGCCAGGACACGGGTTCGAGGTAGCTTTTGGCATATGATCTTAACAATTTAGAAGTTAAATATTTCTTTTAGGCTTTCATTGCAGGTGCATGGTTTCAATATCTATGCATCTTTGAATAGTTATTCATCCACTTTTACCCCCTCTCTCATGGCATTTCTTTTCCTTATTGTACTTCTTTCATGCATTTTTGCCCATTGACAGGAAGAAGAAAGCAGAAAGAAAATGGAGGAACTAGCATTGCAGCGTCAAAGGAGGATTGCAGAGAGAAGTGCTGGAACTGTTTCTAATAGACCAACCTCAAATAAAACCATGAAAGATAGCAAAAGATCTATGGCCACCACTGTGAAAGTTGAGAAACTGAAGTATCAAGCCTCAACTGGAGAGGCAGAGAAATTACATAAACCAATTTGTAGGAGCTCTACCATAGATCGCCTTGCAACTGCACGAATAACTCACACGCCATCTAAAGAGTCACAGAACAGATCAAGTAGGAAAACAATTCATCAAAAGGTCAAGCCTTCAGATAAAAGTTGTATGAATAAGTCTAATACGACTTCTCCTGATGCTCTAGTAAAGGAGAGCAGCACTGAAGGAAGGCCTCGGGCTAATGAAGTTGATGATTTCAGAGACATCAAGGAGCTTCAGACTATATCTTCAGTTGAGAAGATTGAAAATCATATGATTTCATCTACTGATACTTTCGTTAACGAAGAACGTGATCAGATGTCAAATGGAAGATTCTCAATGCCGCCTAACGAAGATCAATCTGTCCAACCACAGGACTTGAAAGTGAGCGATGCGAACAGTGCAGTAAGTGATGAAGTGAAGGTAGAAACACATCACTCAAGGAAGAAATGGATCACTGGTGGCGACTCTCCTCAAGTAACCAACAGTATTAGAAAGTTGCTATTGTTTGGTAGGAAAAGCTGAGCATTCCACCTCTAATGAGGTCAAAGTTACAAGTTTTATTATTGAGTAATAAAAAAATTTCTTTCTTGTCTGTGTTGAGAGGAACAAGAAACCGAACAAAGTAAAAACTAAAGGCTGCTTTAGTTGAGAGTTGTATTCTATCATATCACCTCATCCACTTAGTAAGTGGTTGATCATTTGCATTCTGCCTTTTTAGATCCTCGAATTTGGCAGCTAAACACTCGTAGTCTGGAAGCTTAGGATGAACATGAGTGAGAGGACGATTCTTCTTATCTTTATCGATTATATAAGAATCTTGAACCTCTACATTTCTCTCTTTGCGAGCATAACTGGCATCCTTATTGAACATATGACTGTGTCTTTGATCTATTACTTTGTCAGGGTAACAACACTTAGAGCTCGAATGCTGCACTTCTGCCCTTTCATCAGGTACAATCTCGAATGATGGATCTATATTGTTGTTCCCCCTCATCTTTATCTCTGTAGAATTTGTCAAAGTAGTATTTGATCTAATCTTTTGCAGAATACCCTGCAGCTTCAAAGTCCTTGAACTTTTGTGTTTACTCTCATTCTTGCTCGAGCCCCCCTCGGGTTCATCCTTTTTCTTCACCTCACAAGATTCAATGTAATTTTCGCGTGCAAGTAACTGCAACAAGATAACAAATAACACAATAAGATAAACCAAAACAAAAATCTCATAGAAAACGGGTAGAAGGTACCTTAAGTTGAGGTCCCAAAGAAATTGCATACTCATTAGCTATTTCATCTGTTAGTTGGAGCTTGATATCTTCCATTACCGGCTTCCTGGTTAGGTTCTGCTTAGTTTGAGAGTTTACTGTGTTCCCGGGTAGCAGCTGAACGTTGATTCTCTCGAACGCTTTCCCAAAATGCTGTTTGAACAAATCTCTGAGTGAATGTAGCTCAGGTAACTCACTGCATCTAGCTGAAGCATATATGATACTCGATGCAGCTTCCCTGCCTTCATCAGAAAATTTACTGTGTCCACAAAACATATCACACATACATGATCACTCAATTATAAGTGTTGAGCGTCTAACCATTAATGTGCAATTCAACTATCAGCTTAAGCTTTTGAGATGGAGCACATGCTTCAATTTGGTATGAGTCAGACCAAAAATCATGGGTTCGAATCTCTACGTATATATATCAGTGTTGTAAAACTCGGCCGCCTAGCCGCTAGGCGGCCACTTGCCTTGGAGTTTTGGCCTATAGGCGGCCAAAACTCGGTCGGCCGCCTAGGCGGCCTGGGCGGTCAAACTCGGCCGAGTCGGTCAACTCGGCCAACTCGGCCAAGTCGACCGATTTCGTCCGATTTTTGACCGTTTTGACCGATTTTGATCGATTTTGTCTGATTTTGACCGATGTCGTCTTTCATTAATTATTGATTTTAATATTATTATGACATTATGACTTATAAATTATCATTATTTCATTTATTTAGATGTATTATTTGAGTGAACGTTGAAAACAACCTCATTAAAATTGTCGAACTACAAGTCTATCACTATTTTTTTTAATTTTTTTGGTGCCCGCCTAGCGCCGCCTAGAATCCGCCTAGACCGCCTAGGCGCTAGGCGCTGCCCGGCCGCCCGACTAGCGCCTAGCGCCTACTGCAACCTTGATATATATATATACCTGTGCATGCTGAAGTCAGAGAGGTTTGTGAAGATGCAGTCACAGAAGTGAAGAAGCTGATTATATGCAGCCAGCCTGCACTGGTCACTATGAAGCTGCTCCACCTGCAACCATTGAAGCTAACTTGTAAGGCGAATGGGAGTCCAGAAATGGGTGTAAATTAACAATAAAATGGAATGGAATGAAATTCTGTGGTGATTATATTACCTTTGATAAAGCAAGGTGTAACTGCCCATTCTGCAGAAGCTGAGCAACATCACTTCGGGCTTGCCTGATAATGGCATCCATTCGGTTTTTCTGGAGTTCTATGCGTTGTTTAAGCCGCCTGATCACCCTCTTGCTGCAAAATTATAATAATAACTTTAAAGATCAAGAAACACACACACACATATATATATATATATATTCACTCTATTGTATAGCATGCACTTCATATTCACCAATCACCATGACAACATTCATTTTATACTTCATTTTAATTTATTTCAAATGATCGAATTAAATATATCATCATAAATATAATATATAATTGAAACTCACAGCTATTACAGGAAAGTATAGGCCGAATAAACCCATAACTATAAAGAGGTAAATCAATTTCTATTACTCAATATAACCAGTTTTTTTTTTTTTAAAAAAAAAAAAAAAAAAGCCCAACCAATTAACACCCCTAGGGGTAAAATTTAATATTTCATATATGTAGTAGAAGACATAATAAAACTCCAGAAATATTGTTCAATATAAATAAATAAAATATAGATTTGTTTTCTAATACTACTTTATAATATTGATTTTTTTAAACATAAACTCAGAAAATATATCTCAATAAAGTCCAATCACTTTTAATCTTTTACACTGTACTAATTATTCACTTTAATGATTGCTTATCTTATCATAGCTATCATTATCAAAATAAATTATTAATCAAAAAAATGTTAATAGAATAATATCCTATAAAATTCTTTTGATGAAGAATTAAAAGGGAACACTCATTATGTCCTAAAAGGAGGAGGGACAAACAAAACAAAATTAAAAATTTGCTCACAAAACTTTAAGTGGCAAAGAATTCAAAAAATTATACATCAAAGTAAAGAGTTTCCATTTTACATTTGTCTAAAAAATAAATATTATATACAAACTTAGTACGTGGTACAAATATGTAAAACAACTCCAAATATAAAAATATTATTTTTAAAATATACAATTAGAGATAAAAGTTAATATTTTGAAAGTTGGAGTTTAGATTTTAGGGTTTTATATATATATCATGGAGAAATAATCATGAAAATGCTAGAAAAAGTCAATAACCTTGTAGCCTAGATGAACAGATACTATATTGTAACAGAGTCAGTATTACTATTAAAAAAAAAAAAAATCATATATACCACTTGTAAGCTTTTCTCCATCTGGAGGCCCAGGCCATTGCAAGAAGTATATCAAACCATCTGTAACCCATTTTCTTCTGCGTGCTTTCTCCCTTCATCACTTTCTTCCGGTTTGAAGAAGAAAAATGGTGAAAAGTTTGGCAGTATGATCGAGATTTGGACCGGTTTGAAGAAGAAAAATGAAATTCAATTCTTTTTTGAAGTTTTATTATGAAACAGTATGATGGAGATTTGGATATGGTGAAAAGTTTGGCAGAATAAGCTAATAAGGTGATGAGGTTTATATGCAAGTTATCTGTATATATACATATATAAACACAGGAAGGAGTATATCGATAATGAAATGCAATAATCTTTCCAGTACGTACATAATACTCGGTTTGAACTTTCCATGTGAAGAAAAAGTTGACAGGAAACTCTATGGAAATGATTGGTTTTTGAATCTTAATTAGCGGCATTCCATGTTTGAAAATTCTTCATTTCTTCCTAGTAATTAGTCATAGAATACTTGAGGATAACGAAATCTATAATATTATTTTATTTTATTTATGAACTAGTAAATTACGGATGCACAGATAAAATTCTTTTATTATATATTTAGATAATAAAATTAAAGATGAATTATAAACAATTTTAATATTTGAAAGAATATATTTATTTAATTATATATAAGATTAATGATTAAATAATATATGACTCAGCATTATCTTGAAAGAAAAAAGATATTGGCCCTGTTTGGTAAAATGACTGTTAGCTGATAGCTGTTAGTTGTTAGCTGATTCTGTTAATTAGAGTGTATAAATAGTTGATAACATTAGCTGATTGTAGAAAAGTGTTTAGTAAATTAGCTGTTAGCTGATAGCTGTTTGGTGTAATTTCTTTTCTCAAAAAGCTAATTGAAAAAGTTGCTTGGAGTAGCCTTTTGAATTTTAGCCTTTTAGAGTTGCAAAAAGCTAATTAACCAAACATTTATATTGATATTTTAACTAAATCAAACAATTAATAGTGGACTCTGATCCGCCGCACTCTATTTCTGCATATTTTCAATAAATGCCGAACAGGCTCCTTTCAAAAAAAAAAAAAAAAAACAATTAATAGTGGTCAAATAAGCCAAAATTGACCTATAGGTCAATTGGCCATTGTAATATGAAACCAAACATATAAATTGTGTGTATTTAACTCAATTCTACCGTTCAAAAAAACTCAATTCTAGTAGCTAGAGAGTATCTATATGTCCATGTCCATATATACTTTCTAGGGTTCAAATCTCTAACCTCTCATTTAATATAGCCACAGTTATGCCACCTGACTACAAGTTAGGTCTTTGGCTAATAATAATAATTATTTATTTAATACAAAATGATATAAATAAAAATGACTAAGGTGTCCCTCAATAATTTAAAATTTTAAAATGCATTATTAATTATTAATATTAACATAATTTGTTAGTGGTGGACTAAAATTACAACTTTACACATAATTAAATGAGAAAATTTGTACTCCGTATATGATAATAATTCATGGACCAAATATACAATATAGATATAATTAATGGATTAAAACCGTCATTTTCCCTAATAATAATATAATGTCTCTTTGGAAGAATAATATAATGTCTCTTCTGAAGGTAATATACAACCCTATGCAAATCATTACCTAATATATACTCAGTATCATTATTATTGCATTTAGATTTACCAATAAAAATAAAGAGCTTTCCTTTTAATTTCAAGCTTTTAGACAATTTCATATCAAAATATAAATATTATACAATGAGTTTAGTTCTTCATTGTATTAACATAATATACCTAACTTAAACCGCAAGTAGTTTTCTTTTTCTTTTTCTTTTTCTTTTTTTTTTTTGGTGAAGAAACCGCTTTTTTTTAATATTACTGACTCAAGGTACAAAAAGTCAATACCACCTTCAGCTTCCACTGAAACTCGAACCCACAACTTCTTATATAGAAAAATAATTTTGTGTCACTATACTACAAGGTCTTTGAAAATCACAAGTAATTTTAAATCTTCATAAATAAATTAAAATAATTAACACACAAAATTAATCTTGACTAGCTAAAGTCAGAACCTTAAACCCTAATCAAGTCATTACTTTCTTTACGTTTTTGACAGCTCATATACATATTATTAAACACGTCACATGCACAAATAATACTAAAATATTCATAGAGATTTTTTTGTAAAAAGCTAAAAAATATTATATATTAACTTTTCTTCACTAATTTCCTCCATGCCATTCATTTCCTAGCTTTTAACTATGGCAAAAAACTTACGTGAGTCACATATCTTTGCCCGTGAAATATGTCGGATCAAGATAAAAATGTAATATTTATACAAAAAAAAATGTAATACTAATCAGAAATAAAGTGTTGATTTTTTATTTTTTATTTTTTGAAAGAAAGTGTTTGTTAATTACTTATAAGAAAAAGTGAAATATTTTGAGAAAAAATATAATACTTTTATATTTTGATTTAAAAATTTTACATTTTCCCTCAAAAATATTACATTTTTCCTTACTATTTAGTAACAAATACTTTATTCCTAACTAGTATTATATTTTTTTCAGTATAAGTATTATATTTCCATCTCGAATCAACCAGTCTCACGGATAAGGATCGTGAGACGGTCTCATAGGAGAATCACTCTTTTACTAATATAGTATAATATGATCTAATATATAATTGATCAGTGAAATGAATCCAAAGCTAGATATGACCATGGTTTGATTCAAACCGAACCGAAACCGCTGGTTTCAATTAGGAAGTAAACTTTTTTTTTTTTAAATATATATGTTTAATATTAAATACTGCTACAGATCTCATAAGATCAGACTGCAGCAAATATGGAATATTTGATAAATACAAAAAAATAAAATAAAAAATTAAACAGAAAATATGTTCTAAATTTTCAAAGCAAATATGTTCTGATTTTTGGGTTGGGTGACTCTTAGTCCCTCCTTATGATAAAATTAAAAACAGAATAAAAACTCAAAGCATAGGCCATAGATCATAATACAGGAGATGACAAATCAAAATGAAATAGCACAGTGAACACTGCTACAGATCTACAAAAATGATATACATGCAAAATAGTATTGAATATAATGAATTTCACATCACACATACATTGCGTGTTCAGATTCAGCTATACGTGTTGTTTCCTATATATATGGTTTAAGTATTTGATATGACCATTTAAAAAAAAAATTCTAGATAAAAAATTAATTGTTGAATTTGGATCATTTTAAAATAGAGCATATGATTTTATCTAAAAAAAAAAATTATTATTAGTTAGAGTCGGCGGTTCACATCGGAACTACCGATTTTGGTTCGGCTATTCTTAAAACGGGAATCAAAACCGTGGTCAAATCTATTGAAAGTCCTCATACACAGTTCAACTAGTCAACCAATTCAAAAATAAAATTTATAATTTTTGTTTTGTTGATATCACTTCTTAATTTTTATTCCCTAATGTACAATATTTAATAAAAGAATGGCTAGTCTTTTTTTTTTTTTGTTGGGAAAAAGAATGGCTAGTCTTTTAAGATATTTGGTTGCATAAAAGAATCTCTTTATTTCAATTATTCCTTTAATTATCGAGTTTTGTTAATTCGGACTATTTGAGTTACAATTTTTTAAAAATAAAATATCAATTATATTAAAGCAATAAACAATTCAATAATGAGTTAATTTAATCCATCGATTAACATGTCAGGGAGCCAATATCACAGAGTAATTATTTAATTTTAAGAGGATGTTTAATTTCATAATATACTATAAAATATTATTTCATACATTTGATTTGAAATATTAGTTTTTCAATGGGAAAAATGTTACGTAGAAAAAAATATTTTCTTATTAAGTCTTCGCATAACTAACTCTTTGTAACAAAGTTGATCAATTAATTTGAATCAGAATATGAAATAATTTGGTACATAATAAGTTCAGTACAAATGGTATTTTGCCTTTCGGATCGGATAGTCAAATTTTGTGAACATTGAGTCAAAGATTGGTAGGCAAGCTAAGAGTCTATAACTCTAGAGTTCATCCTAATCCACTGACGTGTATTACCAATCTTATACTCCGTATTTGCTCTATTTTAGCAACTAATTAGGGGCGTTTCGTTCACTGAATATTATATTAACTTAGAAAAGTTATATTTATATGTTTAGTTTAAATTTAAGATATGTAAATAAGATAAGGATAATAAGATAAATTGATTAAAATGTTAAAAGTTTAACATTAATAATAGGATAAGAGAATGTAATATTATCTAAGAAATTAGTGGGTATCTCACATTCCCTTCCAGTAGCTAAAAACTTAATGTGAAGGTTATCTGACATTTCCTGAAAAAATTACATAATCTGAACCAAGTATAGGGATCTTATATTTCCAAGCAAATATAACATTAGTTATTTTATATAACTTGAACCAAACACCCCCTTAAAGTTTATTAGTACAATCTGAGACAACTATTTTTTTTAACTCTACATCTCATCTTAATAAGGGCGCAAATTTCACTTTTAGTCCCCAACTATTATAGCATTACTACATTTAATCCTATTCTTTTAATTTTGTCATATTACATCTTGACTTTAAACAATTTCCACTTTTAGTCCTTAACTATTATGACATTAATACATTTAATCATATTCTTTTAATTTTGCCATATTACATTCATGACTTTAGTAACTTTCACTTTCAGTCCTCAGCTATTCTGACATTGTCATATTTAGTCCTACCCTTTTAATTTTGCCATATTAAATCCATGACTTTTATTTGATTACCACCATTAGTCTTCCATTAAAATTTTATTAATTTATCATTAGAATTGAAATAATAAAGGAAACAATAATTACAATTTCGTAACTCATATTTCAAACACATTAAAAAAATATTGTAAATATCAAATGGTGTTTGAGATACAATATGTGTAAAGATTTGTCCCTTTTATTATATGTCAATTTAATGATATCATTGTATTTTAATATCGTAACCTATATTTCTAATACATTTCTATGAGTTACGATTGATATTTCTAATATGTTTGAAATACGAGTTACTATATTGAAACATAGTAATAGATTTGTAGCATGGATGAATTTTAGGTAAAGCAAATTTGAAAAATTTAACACTAGTCTAAGGCTGTACTACTTATCTTATAAAATCTGTCGGCTATTTTTGGCGTACATTAATTAAATACTAACCGCGCATCTTGGTTACTTAAAGGCTTTGAATATCTAGAGAGAGAAGGCAGGGGAGAGAGAGTTAAGAGTTTCAGAGTTTCAGTGAAGGAAGAGATCTAGATCTGTGCAACTCTGAACTTCAACTGAAGGCAGAAGCTTCACTACGCTCCAAAAATGGCTTCCAAGCTGTTAATGATCATTGTCTTTGTGTTTGATCTCATAGCTTTTGGTTTGGCTATAGCTGCTGAGCAGAGGCGAAGCACAGTGAGCACCCACCCCTCCCCCAAACAAACTCATTAGATTAAAAATCCCAATTTACTTGTTTGTTACATTCATTTGTTTTATTGGTGTTTTGTTTTTCTTTTAATGTGAATCGTGTGTTGTTTCTGGGTAAAATGTTGAACTTCAATTGAGAGGAGCTAGTGTAATGTGAATATTGAACTTTGATTGTAAGGAATGTTTGAGGATTGAGGGGGTTGCTTATTGTTGTGATATGATCTGTTTGTTTATTTGGGAAGATCTGGAGTTTCTGTAGTGATGAAGGGGTGTAAGGGAATATGAGCATTTCCCACTCTCAGCTGAAAGGATATTGGTATTAGGGTTTGCTTTTTTATGTTCTTGAAATAATTTGGGTTTGGAATTGAATAGCTTTATAACAAAAATGTTCTTGATTTCCTGTTTAGCTTGGCCACTCAGTTTACTGGCATATTGATTTTGTTTTCTTGTCTATTCTTTGAGCTAATGTAGAAGTTTTCTATCTAATGTGAGAAGTACTGTTTGTATTAACATTGTCTGCCAGTAATGTTTCTTAGCAAGCCATTAATCGTGTTAAGTAATCAGCCTGTGTTTGTAGTTTGTACCTACATGATTTTAGGATGAAATCTAGGAAGCACGGACACTTTTAGAAAGCCAAGATTTCGTGTTGAACACACATATTGGATACTTGTTTTTACGAAATTTTCCCTGGAAATGCCCAAGGCACATCATGGACACGCACAGGACACATTGCGGAGATGCCTACGACTTGAAATGTAGAATATTCAAGTGATGACTTTGTTTCAGCTTTAATTAACAGGAATTTTGTTCCTTTACAGGCCAAGATTCAAAAGGATACTGAAGACACTTACAACTACTGTGTTTATGACTCAGACATTGCAACTGGTTTTGGTGTCGGTGCCTTCTTATTCCTCATGGCTAGCCAAATTCTTATAATGGTGGCGAGCCGCTGCTTCTGCTGTGGAAGGGCTTTGAGCCCTGGAGGCTCTCGAGCTTGTGCAGTTCTCCTGTTTATAATCTGCTGGTCTGCACCTTTCCTTTTCTGATAAGTAGCTATTCTATTGCATCATTAACCAATAAAAAAGAAACAATTTTGACCTCTAAACTTCGCTTCAGGGTCACATTTTTCATAGCCGAGGTATGCTTGCTGGCTGGTTCTGTGAGGAATGCTTATCACACAAAGTACAGATCATCGTTCTTAATGAATGACAAGCCACTTTCCTGTGAAACATTGAGGAAGGGAGTCTTTGCAGCTGGAGCAGCTTTCATTTTGTTCACAGGCATAATCTCCGAGTTCTATTATGCTTCCTATTCCAAGGCCAGGGGTACCCCGGGGCAATACACTGGAGCTGCTGACATCGGCATGTCAGCATATAAATGAGGTCAGCTTATAATTTCCTCGACGAGATTGCTGTGAATGCCTGAATTTTCACTTTCGAGACCCTTAGTTGCATCTGAATTCCAAGTATAGGAGTCTAGTTTTAGTTGGAGATTGAGAATTTGCTGTTGTCATGATGCTGTTTCAGTCTTTGATTCTTTTGTGCCAAAACTTGAACTTTCCTAGTATGTTATGCTCATTGTATATTTATATTTATATTTATATTATGTAATACAAGTCTGTTATTTATGCTTCTTTGGGACAATATATGCCAAGTATTATATGATACAACTTGGGACTAATATTATACTCTCTCTCTCATTTTATCAGTTTTGCTTACTCATTGGTCAAACCAACTCTTTCTTCTTTGTTTATTTTTTGTAATATTTTTTTAACTTATTTTTTAATTTGATTTTTTGTGTTTAAGTACTTTTAGCGTAGTTTCTAAATATATAAATTTTGTATATTAATTCTAAACTTAATATTATGAAAAATTGAATTAAAAATAATTTCAGTCCAGGTTAACTGTATTAAACACATAAAATGGAACGGAGGGAGCAACATTTTACATCGACTGTATCTTAGTATCTAGACCAAACTATGTCAAACAAACTATAGCATTATGATATACTTCTTGATCTTTGTTGTTAATCAACCTCAAGAGCACAAGCTCGGTAATTATTTATCAATTAATTGTTACTATATCAAAATCTAACATAGTAACATGCCAAGTTGTCAACCATATATTACGTTACATAACATTCCCAGAGAATCTTCACCTCTAAATTAATAAAGCATGTAATTTTTTATAGGCTGCATCTTTACATAAAAAATTATGACAAATGCAAAATTGGAAACCATCCCAAAGGCATCAACAGCAATAAGCTATCATCACTATATTATTTATAGGTTCTGTTTGGGCTTATCATTGATCGGGCTTGAATCAAGCCTTTCCGAAGTCATCCCTAGTTGGAATTTGATTTGCACCCCCCCCCGCGAGAGAGTCTCTATGCTATACAATTCTATAAGCTCTAGAAAAGGTCTTGTATAAAAGGGGGGTCAAATCCTCTTTTCAAACCAATGTGGGACAAAAGCTCACTTTTTCCCTTCATTTTTCCAACTCAATGGGTCTACTTTGAGAATCAATATCTCATTCACCCATTATCCGTTTTGAGCGTACAATATATCAATCTCTTCGTCTCACTACGAAGAACCCGAATCCACTTTGACCCGATCCAAATCGGAAGTGGACCCCACTGATAATTGTACCACAAAATAGCCACTTAAAATGCCATTTTAATGCTATTTTTCCAACAATACTAACCAGGAATATACATTAAATAACAAAAAAAAAAAAAAAAAAAAGGGAAGAATGAAATGAAATACAAGTGAAATGGATCGGAGTTGTGTGCTCTACTGATATACTTTGATTTATGCAAAAGTTTACAGTCATTACTCGAAAATAAATTTTTGTACGAGTCAAGTTCGGATTTTTTTTTTTTTGAGTGCGACTCAAGTTCGGATTTAATCCCGAATGCTTATTGATTATTAGAGAATTTTCGATTGAGAGTTATTGCGCTTGAAACTGAACCCAAAGATGGCATACTTGCTTTGGGTTAGGATTGTTCGGCCAAGTGATGTTTAGGTTTAGGTTGTTAGACCCAAAATGTTAAGAAGTTGTTATTAAATCTAAAAATTGACAAAAAGATTTATAAATGAAAAAAACACGTAATATTTAAGAAATTACAACAAATCTAAAAATAATAAATAAGAAATTAAAAACTAAAACTCTTGTCAAGCTTATCACAAGTTGTAATTACAAATTACAATAATTTACTAATATAAAGAAAAGAAATGAAATGAAATACAAGTGGAATGGAATGGCGTGCTCTACAGGTATATGCTGTTCATAACTTCATATACACACCAATCACATGTAATCATGCATGCAAGAGGTATGTTGGCAATATATGACTTTTGACTTTATTATTATATATAATATATCATATATTATACTCTGTTTATGATTTTATATATAATGAAATTATTATTTATCGGTCCAATCAATTTTTGTTTTTTTTAACTAAAATTAATTTTATGTCTTGTGATAGTTATACCTAATAATATTAAACATAAAATATTTGATGCTGTTGAGTTTGCTATTAATTACATGCAATTATTTTGGAAATTACACCTAACCATTTGAATAACCTACCATTGCAAATTATATTATAGACCATGGTCCACATTGCAGGGTGGACTTTGATTTTAAAATACTTTATTTTAAATTAAATCCTTAATGACATCAATCACTATATCATGCTTAATAACCTTCATTATTTGTTTTATTTGTTCATAAACATAAATCTTAATGTAGAATTGTAGATAATTAAACACTAGATTGTACGGCTAAAGTGTTGGAGAGAATTGGGGATTATGTTGGGGTTTTCTTGCGCTATGATGAACGGAACTTTGAGAGGCAATGGGCTTCCTTCTATAGGGTTAGAGTCACCCATGATGTCTCAAATTCCCTAAAGCGGCGGATGAAGATGATTCTGAGAGATGGTTCCTGGACATGGATAAATTTTAAATATGAACGCTTCCACATGTTTTGCTTTTTTTGTGGAAAGATGGGCCATACGGATAAATTTTGCTTGCAAGCTCGCCGTTCATTGTTAAAGCCGGAACAATATCCGTTTGGTGTGTCGATGAGGGCGGGGGGTACGAGTCCGGCGAAGGCGTTGGGGGAAAAATGGTTTCAACTAGGCCAAGAGAGGAGGCGTGAGATTGGCTATGGGAGTGAGGGAGGGAGAATGGCGGTGGCTGTTGGGGTTGGGAGGGATGGACTGTCTCGGGTGGAGATGAGTAGGCCTACGGGTGGGGTGGTTTCGGGTACTGGAGGTGTGGAGGGGATGGGCGGTGAGGGCGTTGGCGGTGAGGGGGTGGGAATTCGGGTAGATCCGAAAAGAAGGAAGACGGACATTGGGGAGGTGAGTGCTTTGAATGGGGACATGGTTGTTGATTCTGATTCTTTGTTGGCAGGACCTGTGGATCAGGTCCGCTGGTCCCAATGAGTACCATAAGTTGGAACTGTCGTGGCTTGGGTAATCCACAGACAGTTCGCGAGATTGAGGGCATGCTGTCCTCGAAGAAACCCGACTTTGTATTTCTCATAGAAACCAAGGTTGACCGTGATCATGCGGAGCGTCTTCGGGTTAAGCTTGGTTTTGATGGACTTTTTTGTATTGACAGTTCTGGTTTGAGTGGTGGATTGGCTCTGTTGTGGAGAGCAAATAATACAGCGAGATTGATTAGTTATTCCACAAACTATGTGGATGTTGAGGTGACTATGCCGGGGTTTGAGAAGTGGAGAATGACTGGCTTTTATGGCTTTTCACAGAGGGGTCAAAGGAGAGATTCGTGGGATCTTATTCATACCTTAGCTGGTAGATCGAATCTACCGTGGGTGATGATTGGTGACTTTAATGATTTACTTTATCAATCTGAGAAACGAGGTGGAAACCCTCATCCTCTGAGTTTACTGCATGGATTCGGTGAGACTATAGAGGAGTGTGGATTAGCACAGATGCCAATGATGGGATATCCATTTACCTGGGAAAAAGGAAAAGGCACACCGAATTGGATTGAAGAAAGATTAGACAAGGTTTTGACTAGCCAGAGTTTGCGTGAGATTGTGCCGGATGCTAGTGTGCAAAATATATTAACCCGAAAGTCCGATCATTCTGCTCTTTTCCTTGGGATTCTAAATCTTCGGGAAAGGACGGGTGGTCTGAGAAGAGGGTTTCGTTTTGAGATGGCATGGCTGCATGATGAAGGATGTAGGGATGTGGTGGAGAAGGCATGGAATGAAGGCGCAGGAAGGGGATTGCAGGAATGTATCTCTATTTGTGGAAATCGTTTGTCGCGTTGGGGAGGAGAGCGTTTTCATAAGTTTGGGGAACGGATCAGGAACCTGCGGAAGGAACAATTGCGCCTGAGGGGGTGTAATGATCCGAGCTCATTAGCTGAGTTCCAACGTTTGGAGGAGTGCCTATGTCGTATTGAGGCCCAGGAGGATACATACTGGAGGCAGAGAGCCAAACAGCATTGGCTTAAGAACGCGGATGCTAACACGAAATACTACCACATGTATGCATCTCATCGCAAGAAAAAGAATACTATTTTAAAAATTATGAATGATACTGGGGATTGGGTGGAGGGTGATGCCATGAGGAATGTTATCTACAGCTATTATAAGACTATCTTTACCTCCGACTCTCCAAGTGATAGTGGGGATTTCTTTGGAAATATAGCCTCTCGGGTAACACAAGTACAGAATGAGTTGCTCTTGCGGCCATTTGATGCTAGTGAGGTAAAGAGTGCTCTATTTTCAATGTTTCCTAACAAAGCACCAGGACCGGATGGAATGAATCCGGGTTTCTACCAGCATTTCTGGGATGTAGTGGGTGGTGATGTATCGGCCTATATTGTGAATTGTCTTAATACTCGCTCGTTTCCAGCTCGCTTGAATGATACGAATATAATATTGATCCCTAAGAAGAAAACTCCTGAGATGGTCTCGGATTATAGACCTATAGCACTGAGTAATGTGGTGTACAGGATTATGGCTAAGGTTATAACTGCCAGGATGAAACCGCTTATGGGAGATATTATATCTGACACCCAAAGTGCTTTTATTTCTGACAGGCTGATAACAGATAATATTTTGATTGCTGCGGAGGTTGGACATTTTTTGAACAGAAAACAATGTGGAATCACAGGATGGGGGGCTTTGAAACTGGATATGGCAAAGGCCTATGATCGAATGGAGTGGCCCTTCCTGCGTAGTATGATGTTGGCATTGGGTTTTGATGAAAGGTGGGTGGATTTGATAATGCTGTGTGTGACCTCAGTTTCATATACTATTTAGGTTGGTGGTACTCGTAGTGACCAGATCATGCCAACTCGTGGATTGAGACAGGGTGACCCACTGTCACCTTATCTCTTTATTATTTGTGCTGAGGGACTTTCATTGCTACTACAGTAGGCACAATTGAGAGGAGATCTACATGGGTGCAGAGTAGCTAGGGGAGCCCCCCTATATCCCACTTATTCTTTGCAGATGACAGCTTACTCTTTTTTAGAGCAACAGCGCAGGAAGCCAGTGTGGTGAAACAGTGTTTATCGGTTTATGAGGAAATGTCTGGGCAAGCAGTGAATTACTATAAGTCAAGTATTTGCTATAGTAAGAATACGCGAGATGAACACAAAGAGGAGGTTGCCGATATATTGGGAGTGGTTCAGGCTCCGAATTTTGGGAAGTATTTAGGACTTCCATCGTTTGTGGGCAGGAATAGGAGAGCAGTATTCTCATACATTGATGACAAGATTAGACAGCGGATTGGGTCCTGGAATAGGAAACTGCTTTCACAGGCAGGTAAGGAGGTCTTATTGAAAAGTGTGGCACAGTCTATGCCCACCTTTTCTATGAGTGTCTTTTTACTACCTATGAATACTTGCACAGCCATTGAGAGAGCTATGAATCGTTACTGGTGGAGAGCTAAGGATGATCAGGGCATCCATTGGAAGGCATGGGATAAATTATGCATCCCTAAGAAATATGGAGGATTGGGCTTTAAGGAGTTGCATGCCTTTAATTTAGCTATGCTGGGAAAGCAGGCCTGGCGTTTACTCACCAAACCTGAAACACTGGTTTCCAAATATATAAAGCCAGGTACTACCCTAAAGGGACTTTCTTTGATGCTTCTATAGGGAATAATCCAAGTTACTGCTGGCGTAGTATTATGGCGGCACAGGAATTAGTTTGTGGGGGTGTCAGACGCAGGATTGGGAATGGAAAAGGAACTCTTATATGGGATCATCCATGGCTCCAGGATGATAATAATGCGAAAATAATCACTGACAAACCACCATATTTGGCGCAGGCAACTGTAATGGGATTAATAGATCAGGAAGCGGCGACCTGGGACCATGAAATTTTAAATGATATTTTCATTCCGAGGATGTGACGCAAATATTGAAAATACCTATGTCACCAGATTATGAGGATATGTGGTATTGGCATGGTGATGTAACTGGAGAATACTCGGTTAAGAGCGGCTACAGGCAAATAGTGGGAAATTATGTACAGACGACAGGGATGTTTGATAAATGGCCCAAATTATGGAAACTTAAAGTACCCCCGAGGTGGAAAACTTTTTTATGGAGAGCCTTGAATAATATATTGCCCACCACAAACGAACCTCATTATAAAGAGAGTGGAGATTAGCCCAACATGTGCTATGTGTGGGATTATGCATGAGAATGTTATGCACTCTTTGGTTGAATGTGATTATACAAGGAACATTTGGGCACAATCTCACCTTCCAATCCCCAATACTATCACAGATATTTTCCATGTTTGGTTTAATGAGGTATTAAATATTCTAGATGATGATGGAATTATTTATGCAGTAGGCCTGCTATACTATATATGGCGAGCAAGGAATGGAGCTGTGTGGGATGCATACTTGCCCAGACCACAAAAGATAATTGCAACCGTAGCCGCAGCGATCCGGGCATGGTGAATTGCACACCCGGACCGCCCGCAACACCAGCATGCTCAGCGTGGATTCATCACGGCAACCGCCGAGCAGGGCCAGGAAGCGGTACTGCCGCATACTGACATTCCGCCCACAAACCACACGGCTGCCCCCTCACGGAAGAAATGCTACATTCATGCAGCCTTTATCCATGCCACAAGTAAAGCCGCTGTTGGGGCAATACTACTAGACGAACAGGGATCGTATATCACAGCTCTACAGGCGCCTTTGATAGACTGCTTCTCCCCGATTATGGCAGAAGCAATTGCGTGTAAAGAAGTATTATCCTGGTTATGGGATCGTGGAGAGAGATCAATGGACATACTAACGGATTGTCTGTCACTTCAACAGTATTTATCACAAGCAAAGGATACACCACGTTCGTACCTCGGCTATGCCATTGACACCTGCAGAAACCGGATGATTTCCTTTGATTATGTTTCAGTTAATTATGTTCCTAGATCAGATAATCGTTTAGCACATATTTTAGCCACTTCGGCCTTTAATTATTCAGCACCGATGTACTCGAACAATGGTCCGCCAGACGCTATTTCAGCATATTTCCAATAAATGTCGCGCAGGCTCTTTTCAAAAAAAAAAAAAAAAAAAAAAACACTAGATTGTAAGTACATTATAAGATTTATATTTACTCTATAGTAAGTTCATAATGTTTCTTCTATATGTTTATAAAAGCAAAGTTAATGTACATAAACATTATACTACATGAAGGACGGACCCAAAAACCTTTCATAAGCTGCACACACACCTTACCAACTTAACTAACTCATCTATCCCTTACTTTTATCCGTATGTTATACTTATACATAAACGTGTGTACTACACACACACACACATACATATAATTAACTAGGTTAGTTGCCCCCACTGTAAATTCGCTCCTGACTACATGCACATCATGTATAATAACATTCATCATGTACTTTATTCATAATATTTGTTTTATATGGTCATAAATCTAAATCTTATGTACATAAATACTAAGTTGTGGTACATCGTATTTATTTTCATTTATCCCGTAATGGCTTCATAATATCCCTTTTATATGTTCATAAAAACAAAGCTGCTATTAATGTATACAAACATTAAACTAAAATAATGGCTTTATATACTTATAGGTTTATTTTAAAAAGAATATAAGAATTATATATGAGTGTCATTTAAAATGTCTCAATTAGAAAATTTTAACTATATATTTTTTATATATTAATTTTATTTATAAAAATAGAGAAAAATAAATATAAGTTGAAAAAAAAATTGAGAAAGAAATAAAAATGTCTTACTTAAGACTTGCTTTGAATGGTAGAATGAGAGTTTAATTCCTGCAACCAACAATGGAAGTTTGGGGTCATGAACAATGGGAACACCTATGGGTTTGGATTAGGTTTCTTTTGTGCAAAAGTGAATAGCTTAGTGTTGAATTTGCCAAGTTGTCAACCAACTATATATGGTCCATAGTTCATCAAGCCAGGCCAACAACTAAAACTATATATTACATTACCAGATCAGAGAATCTTCAATTCAACTCTAAATTAATAAAGCATATATGTAAATTTTTGATAGGCTGCTGGGAGAATCTTTACAATAATGGAAGAAATTATGGCAACTGCAAAACGGGAAACCAATTCAAAAGGAAGAGATTGATCAATTCTTCAACTGAAGGAAGAAGCTCAAGGTTCCAAAAATGGGTTCGAAGCTGTTAATGATAAGTGTGTTTGTGGTTGATCTTATAGCTTTTGGGTTGGCAGTAGCTGCTGAGCTGAAGCGAAACACAGTGAGCATCATATCCCCCTCCCTCAAACAAATTCATTACATTAAAATTCTCTATTTATTTGTTTGTTACAAACACTCATTTCTTTTGTGGGTGTTCGTTTTTCTTTTTGAGTTGTGTGTCTATAATCTTGTTTCTGGGTAAAACGTTGAACTTCAATTGGGATGAAGTAGTGTAATGTGAATCTTGTGTTAGATATAAATGTAGTCTAACGTTACTAATTATATGGTGCAAGTTGACTAGACTTATTATGAATATAGTGATGGGATACAAGATATACATTATAGTTATGATACTCATATTGCTCGTTTTATGAGTTAAGTATGGGACAAAACAGCTAATACAACCTGAGAGGATATCTATAATGTTGGAAAAAAGCATAAAATGACATTGTATGTAGCTATTTTGTGGTACAAATATATGTGGATCCAATTCCAATTTGGGTCGGATCAAAGTATATTCGAGTTTTTCGTAGTGAGACGAAGAGATCAATATACTGTACATTCAAACGGATAATGAGTGAAATTGATTCTCCATTTGAGTTGGGAATGAAGGTGGGAAGGCATATAAGTAGCTTTTGTCTCACATTTGAAAAAGAAGGGGATTAGCACCACTATATATACAACACCATTTTAGAGGAAAGTTGAATTGTATAGCATAAAGGCTCTCCCTTGTGGTGTGCAAATTAAATCCAAAATGAGCCTGAAAATGGCTAGTTGTGTTCTAAACTTGTTCTAGTTCGCCTAGATTAGGGGTGGGCGTTTCCCAACATTTCTTGGTGTTCTAGCACAAATAATTAATTAAATTTCACAGATATACAGCAAAAATTGAGTTCCAATTTTATCAAATGCATGCTCATATACATATGCAAGCATATAAACTTAGGCGAGGGCAACATGTGAGGCTTGTTCGATTGTAGATTTGCAGTCTAGGCAAGAGTGTCTGGGCGGACGAAAATTGTATTTTCACATTTTTAAAAGTTGGTCAATTTGGTCTCTGGAATGGTTTAATTGACAAAATTTTAAACAATTTATGGATTAAATTGGTTGAAATTGAAAACTAAAAACTACATTGACAGTTGGAAAACAATTGAGGGACCAAAATGTTGATTTCCCCTTAGAATATTCAATTGATGAGTTTGTTTCAGCTTTAATTAACAGGAATTTTGTTCCTTTACAGGCCAAGATTCATATGGATACTGAAGACACTTACAGCTACTGTGTTTATGACTCAGATATTGCAACTGGTTTTGGTGTAGGTGCCTTCTTATTCCTCATGGCTACTCAATTTCTTGTAATGGTGGCAACCCACTGCTTCTGCTGTGGAAGGGCTTTGATCCCTGGACCCTCTCGGGCTTCTGCACTTATCCTATTTATAATCTGCTGGTATATATGAATGCACATATTTTTATTTTTTTTAATCAGACCATGAGGTGTCCTAAGCAGGTCTTAACTGTAGGAGATAACTTTAATTCCGTACCATATTCAGACTAATCCCTATTTGCACCGGGCCGACCCAATTAAGCGGCAAAGTGCTGGCCAGATTGGTTTTTTTCATACGAGAGGAATTCGAACACCCGACCTCTCTTTTAAGGGATGAGAGTGCACGGCCACTCATGTCAGCTGGTTTATGATTGCACCTTTAATTTCCTTTTCCTAATTTTCTGGTAGCTCTTACATTATTGCATCATTAACCCCCCCAAAAAAAAACTTGAATTTGCTTCAGGGTCACATTTTTGATAGCCTCGGTATGCTTGCTGGTTGGTTCTGTGAGGAACTCTCATCACACAACCTACAGAGTAGCTTTCTTAGCAGATGACATACCACTTTCCTGTGAAACATTGAGGAAAGGAGTGTTTGCAGGTGGAGCAGCTTTCATTCTATTCACAGCCATAATCTCTGAGTTCTATTATGTTTCCTATTCCAAGGCCACTAGGCTACTCCAGGACAATACAGTGGCATTATTGCAGTGAATTGAAAATCTCTTGGACCCTTATAGAGTCTAGTTTTAGTTGGAGATTGAGAATTTGTTGTTGTGATAATGATGCTGTTTAAGTTTTTGATTCTTTTGTGCCAAAACTTAATCTTGCCTTGTATGTTATGCTCATTGTATATTTATATTCTGTACTATAAGTCTGTTAGTTATTTATGCTTCTTTGGAACACTATATGCCCAAGTATTCTCGGGCAAATTATACCATATACCAGGGTGTACATTGTCAATCTTTATACCATGGATCAAGATTATATTCATAATACACTATGAACCCTGGAGCATGCATGTGTATGTGTTTGATGTTGTGAGCTTTTATGTCTTGTGTTATGAAATTCTGTATTTAAGAGTATGAATTATGCAGCTGAAACAAATTAGTAATTCTGTCTTATGTAATGAATTTTGTGTCTTGTGTTGTGAAATTATGTGTTTATGAACACAAATTATGTACTTAAATCAGATTTTAAAAAGAGTAAATACCACCTATGATCCCTCGAGTTTGGTGGCATCGCCATCAATGGTCCCTAACTTCCGTAATTACCATCCGTCATCCTCCGAGTTGTCAAAAGTTACCTTCTAGCGTCCTTCCATTACTTCCTCCCATCTCAGCCGTCAAAATGGAGGGTAATATTGTCATTTGACTTATACGAAAAGAGTTAATACCAGCCAAGGTCCCTCGAGTTTGGTGGTCTGGCCATCTTTAGTCCCAAGTTTCGCTGCATCATATTCCATTATTTCCCTTCTTTCATATTCTCTTCTTCAAATGTATTATTATTACTATTATTTATAGTTATTATTAAATTCTTATTATTATTACTATTATTTAAAGTTATTATTGTTATTATTAAATTATTATTATTATTAAATTATTATTATTATTGTTATTGTTATTATTATATTATTAGCATTAAATTATTATTATTATTATTGTTATTATTATTATTATTATTATATTCATATTATTATTGTTATTGTTATTGTTATTATTAAATTATTATTATTATTATTTATTGTTATTATTATTTTTTTAAATTATTATTATTATTATTGTTGTTGTTGTTGTTGTTGTTATGTTGTTGTTGTTGTTTTTGTTGTTGTAGAAATGTACAAATGCTATTATTATTATTATTATTATTATTATTATTATTATTATTATTATTATTATTATTATTGTTGTTGTTATTTTTATTATTATTATTAAATTATTAAATTATTATTATTGTTGTTGTTGTTGTTGTAGAAATGTGCAAATGCTATATAGGGTGAGTGTATTTAATAAAATCAGAAAATTAGAGAAATAAAAATCTGGAGGAATGGAAAAATGGAAAACTGAAAAAATGGAGAAGGAAAACTGGAAAAATGGAGAAAGAAAACTGGAGAAATGGAAAACTGGAAATGAAAAAAACAGATAAATGAAGTAAACGACCCCTATACATTTGTAAATTTTAATTTCTTTAATATTGTATAGGAGAAGAGGGAGTTCGAGTTGGAAGCTGAGAAACCACCAACTTTCTTTAATATTGTTTGGCCAAGTTTGGGACTAAAGATGACCAAACCACCAAACTCGAGGGACCTTAGCTGGTATTAACTCTTTTCGTATAAGTCAAATGACAATATTACCCTCCATTTTGACGGTTAAGACGGGAGGAAGTAACGGAAGGACGCTAGAAGGTAACTTTTCACAACTCGGAGGATGACGGATGGTAATTACGGAAGTTAGGGACCATTGATGGTGATGCCACTAAACTCGAGGGACCATATGTGGTATTTACTCGATTTTAAAAATAAGTAAATATATAACATGTGTATGTATCTTGTGTTATGAAATTATGTACCTTACGAGTATGAATTCTATATTTTGTCGTTTCGATCCAAGGTCCATAATATTATGTGGACCCGGGTCCACAATATAAATTGCCCTACATTGCATTTTGGACCCTCGCAAATTATGCCCTGGAAACGTGTTCACCGTGAATGGTGAACACAAGTCCAAACGACGTCGTTTTTACGTTAAAAAAAAATTGCGGATGTGGAGTTAACGGCGCGCGTTTGATCAAATTATGAATTTTCTGTTATGAGATTATGAATGTAATGAAAATTCATAATCTCATAACAGAAAATTCATAATCTCATAACTGGAAATTCATAATCTCATAACTGAAAATTCATAATCGCATGGTTCCAAAGTGAATGTGTAGGCATGGTTCCAAAGTGAATGTGCATGCATGGATTCATAATTTATGAATGTCCGTGATTTCGGACGGGAATGTGTAGGCATGGTTCCAAAGTGAATGTGCAGGCATGAATTCATAATTTATGAATGTCCGAAATCATTGCTCACCTCAAATTAAAGTGAAACCGCGAAATGTGAAAATGGAGAAGAAAAGGCACGCAATTAATTAAGAAAAAAAAAAAAGATAATGGTGTACTAACACCGTTGGAACCGTGTTCACCATGAATGGTGAACACGGTTCCATGGCATAACGATTGGTGGACCCTGGTCTAAAATGACATTTAAGTTACGTGTATGCACTTAAGTGATTATGTATTTATCAATAAATTAAAGGCACATAAAATTTTAACTTTGGGTACATAATTTATTAATTATAGACACATGATAAGTTAACTACAACAAAAGTAACATGTGCAAGTAATTATTGCTTGGATGTGCTTTATATTGGTGTACTTTCTCTATCTATTGTAGTCCAAAGAATCATACTCGACTATCAGGTTTGATCCTATGACCTCCCCTCAAGGAGACAAGGAGAGCCACAGATCAGAGGTGCCAACTGAGCACAAAGTGTTTGACTTATTGGTACACTTTAATTTATGATGTTGAATTGTTAAGTGCACTCCATAGTGTTATTACTTGCACTTTAAACATATTTTACTCGCACTTCAAATTTTGAGTTATTTACAAAAATGTCATTGCATTTTTTTAAACTGCTTATGATCTATTAGATCTTTCTAGATATAATTTGCTCTAATTGGTTCCTAGTTCTCACTGGGCCTATTCTTATTTGATTGGAATCTTTTGTGTGTGTATATATAAATTTATTTATATAGTCAAAACAAGAAAATAAGTGATATTTGGCCAATGGCTTATTTGGGAGTTGAGTGACCTCCATACGAATCATCTCACTGCATGCATGATTTGTCACGCCTGCATATATAATAAATTGCAAGTAACTAATTAATTAAATAAATCAAATGTGAGAGTTAGTATATTCTACTAATGTTTTAGTTTTAGCGCAGCGTTTATCCACCAATTATGTCAAACATCTTCCATAAACTTATCGAGTTTAATTTGCTTTGATGAAATTTCTTAGATAAAATATGTAAATTATTAGTTGAATGTGCTCGATCAAAAGTCACATGTTTCATAATCATAGGTTAATTTAGGTTGATTACGATAATATATAAGTAATATATATAGTATTGATTACAATAAGATGCATGTATACAGTGTATATAAGCAGTACATATACAATTTACTTCAGTATTTAAGGAAATTTGATTACGTGGTCAACGTCATCATCACTGTCACCCACCAACAAATTTTGAACTCTTTGGTCCTGTTTGATAAAATAGTTAGTCTATTAGTGAATTTTAACTTATTTTACCACTATTAACTGTTTGATTTGGTTAAAAATTAATACAAGTGTTTGATTAATCAATTTTTTTGTAATTCCGAAATGCTAAAATTCAAAAAGAAATTATACAAAACAGCTATCAGCTAACAGCTAATTTACCAATCACCTTTATACAATCAGCTAATGGCTAATTTACCGAATGCAACGAAGTGAGAGAGAGTGGAGTGGGGCACATCCGTCCATGTGAGTGCACAGTTGCAAGTTGCCTCGACTGTACTGTATAAAGGTTGATGATGAAGAAGATTGGAGATGTGTTTTGGGTAGAGAAATAGGCCATGGGTGTTAGCGAACAGAGATTTGAGTAAACTACTCGTGTTCGTGTTCAGTAAGTGTTCATTTATTACGGTAAATGAACATAAATAAACAAATTTTAGAGCTAAGTTTATAAACAAATAGAGTCTGAACAGTTTTAGTCTCGTTTGCTAAGAGCTACTGAACAAACTCGTTTGTGGTCGTTTAATAATGGTCATGAACAAGCTCGTTTAGTATTCATTTAATAATGTTTACAAACAAGCAGTTAAGTATAAATATATAAATAAATAATAAATAAATAAATAAATAAATATAAATATATATATATAGTTGTTGTGTTGTTTGTTTGATTATTGTTTGTGAACATAGATTATTTCTTGTACACGAACGAATTGCGATCATGAACATGTGCATGTGTTTGGTTATTAAGGGTTCATGAACGTGTTCACGAACATGTTCGTGAATGTATTTGCGAACGTTTACAAACACTAATGAACGCTTAAGAAACAAACACAAACATGATTTTCAAAAACCTTAATAAACGAACACGAACACTCTAAAAATCTTGACAAACGAACGTGAACAACCATAGTTCGTTCATGCTGGTTCGTTAAGAGCCCTAAGGGGTCGTTTGATTCACGGAATGTCAGATTACCTTAGGGAATGTTAGATTGCTGGGAATGTTAGATTCCCGTGTTTGGTTAAAATTGGGGTATGTAATATAATCATGTTTGATTTATGGTTATCTTTTATACACACTATAATATCCTTAACATATTTTCATATATTTTAATAAATTTAAAAATTAAAATAAATAAATAAGATAACGGTATCATATATAATTACATGATTTTAAAATATTAACTAAAATCTTAAACTTGAGAAACAAAATTATTTTATATGCTAACATAACATAATAAAAATAAAAATATATATATAATTACAAAAATAATTATATATATATATATATATATATATATATATATATATATATATATATATAAATATATATATATATATATAATAAACTAACATAACCAAGGTTATCTTACATTACCTAAGATTTTGAAGGGAAT